AAAGCAAATTATACCAATACAATCATAACTTTATTCTTAGACCCTTCTCAAACAAGTGTATTGCCATTCACTGAGCAACAAAACAGATTTTACTGGCAATAATATAATTTCAGGACTATCAAAACAGCTTTCATCAAGCATGTTCAGTTACACAAGAATAATTTAAGTTCTGAGCTTACCTGTGTTGATTTAAATCCTTAAATCCTTATGCGATCATAATCTATTTAAAATGTAATTGTTTCAAGGATCCATATTACTAAATAATATTTACGCATACTTGGAGAAAACACCGCATTACTTAATTAAAGTATAAGCTATATTTCCTTTCCCCTTGTTACCATTTCTCTGCTGATTCTTGATTAGTACAATATCCAGAAAAATCCTGCTAGATCTTTCATTCAAGGTAAAACTTTTATCATTTAAAAAGCAAATAAATAATTACATGTTATAGACTGGCAATTATACAATGATCATTGTTTGATACAATTGTAATTAAAGGGTTTTAATGTATACAAACTCATGAGTGGGTATTAATATTACCATTCTTTAATTAATACACTACCAACACTTTTACATCATATAACTATTCTAATGATTAACATGTTTGGTTTTTATCCATTTAGTCGTATCAGACTCTTGGTGACTTTATAGGCAAGTGTTCTCCATGCTACTGTGTCAAGCAGAACTTCTTTCAATTGTTGTATGTTCAACTTTGGGTCAGATTTGATGTTATCAAGTCAGCGTGTTCTTTGCTTGATCCTTCTTCTTTGTCCACTAAAAAGTCCTAGCATCATTGCCTTCTTCAATGAATTTGCATGCATAACATGGCCAAAGTAAATCAGATGTAGTCTTATGATTTTAGCTTCCAGCGATGTGCATAATTAGCATAAGATCATCCAAATTTCACTTACAGTTTTATGGCATTCTTAACAATAAAGTGTCATCTCAATACATATTTCAAAAACCGAAACAAAAGTAGCCTAGATTAAATAGAAACATACTTTGATCCTGACAATTTCCTCTGACAGTTTGATTTGTAAGTAAAGGGTTTGATTGAGAGATTTAAATGCTAGGGAGAATTATTTCTGTGGATACAGGCAGGATTAGCACCTGTAGGACAGAGCACTTTCCTCTGACGATGCTATGCCCATTATGTTTCATAGCTGGGCCTAATCTACACAATCAAAGGCCTTGCAATGGAGTACAGTAAATGTAAGTCTCCTTGTGGTATCTTCTTGCTCCTTATCCATCTTATGTAAAGTATCTGCTCTCTTGTCCTTCTGCCTTTTCTGAAAAGTTTGTTTACATGAGGAATCAGTCAAGTGTTTCAATAATTTGCATGGTCTAGGATCTTTATTTTGTAAACACATAAATCTTTTTCAATTTTTAGACTATACTGCCTTGTTCTATATTTAGAGCTATTAGCACTTTAAGTGCTGCCAGTCCTACAGGAAAAACAGTTCACGGCTATTTCATCTGTGCATGGTGTCTCTTTATTGACAGATGGTACAAGAGATCAAATGTCTGCTAAAACTATTTGAATTTGTGCTATGGTAAAAAAATATGCCGATATACAATATTTGTAGAATATAGCATATCCTAAGATTAATAGTGATTTGATTTCTTTATTAACACAAAGAATTAAATTAATAGGATTAAAAAGTATCATTAGACCTAAATGGTTCTCACATGCTTTAAGGGTTTAGTCTTATAAGAATATACTAAATAACTACAAACAGAAATGTGCCTAAAAAGTATACATGTGTTCTGACCTAGGCTTCCTTAGAAAGTATAAAGTACAATCTTAGTCCAGGCAAAACTTCTTTTATTTACACGGCTGTGAATTATGGTCATTCACAGTCCGCAAGGTCACAAACAGTCTTTCAGGGGAATGTTTATAAACACCCACCTTATGTCCCTTGGAATACTGCCAGAGAATTAATTGCCAAACACAGGGCAAGGCCAAACTTGGCACTGAGTCAAACAGAACTTTTCAAAGCTTGAACCAACCAGATGAACTAATTGCTTCCTGCAAAAGCTCACGTCCCGTTCGCACCTCTTTTATGTCTTATGGGAGGGGTCAATCATCTCCAAGCCTTACTCCCAAGTCGACCCTGTTTTCTTAATTGTTCTTGTCTTCTGGCAGCTCTGCGCATGTGCACACTGGGAACAGGCTCCCACTGTTCTTCTGCCTCGCTGATGTCAGACTCCGGAGGCAGCACATAACAATCAGATGGCCTTAGCCTCCTCTCTGCCTCCTATGCAGAGCCCTCATCCAATTTTTCCCCAGCCCCCAGGACTGGTCCAAATTCCTCCCCAAGCTCCTTACTGTCCAACACAGCTGCAAGCTCTGCTGGCCACTGGCGGGCCACAATAACATGTAAAACAATAGCTTGAATCCACTGATGAATTGTCTCTGATAATATATCATTGCAGTCTTTCACATTCAACACCAATCAAATTGTGAGGAACTAGTGGGCTAATAGGCTGTGATATAGGACATTTTTCCAGCTACTAGCTGGCATATTTAGAGAGAAGTGGTTGTTCTCAGTGGCGGACTAAGGCCCTTAGGTGCCCTAAGCACTGACAAATCTTGGTGCCCCCCTTTGTTTTTTACAAATCTTCATTGGTCTTTTTTTCTTTCGCAACTTTGTAGTGTCCCCTTTGGGCCTGCTGCCCTAAGCACGTGCTTAGTCTGCTTAATGGTTAATACACCACTGGTTGTTCTTTAGTGCATTTCTTGCAGTGCATAGGCAACTGAGTAGAAATTGACTGAGCTTGTATTTAACAGACCTTTTCTCTGTCACTGCTTCTGCTCTTTAGAACATCTTGCCTCCCATTCCCCCCCCCCCAATGAGGTCAGTTCCAACCCTCTTCGAAGAGCTTAAAGACCCGGTTCTGCTAGTTGGCTTGGAGCTCCAATGTGTGTGTGTGGGGCTTCACATTGGGCGAGGTTGATAGATTAAGAACAGATCCCACCTCTCCCCTTCTTAGTCTACTCCCTCCCTCCCAGTGGTAAAATCCAAATTTTTTTACTACCGGTTCTGTGGGCGTGGTGTGGCTTGGTGGGCATGGCAGGGGAAGGATACTGCAAAATCTCCATTCCCACCCCACTCCAGGGGAATGATACTGCAAAATCCCCATTCCTACCTCACTCTGGGGCCAGCCAGAGGTGGTATTTGCCGGTTCTCCAAACTACTCAAAATTTCTGTTACCGGTTCTCCAGAACCTGTCAGAACTTGCTGGATTTCACCCCTGCTCCCTCCTCATATTTTAGTTAGGATTAAGTATTTGTATTTTTATAACATTTTATTTGTATTGTCTATGGAAAACTTTTTGGAATTGTTGAAAGGACTGTGTTGTAGACTGAAGGGATGTCATATCCCTCCTCCTGTTGTGAGAGGGCTGTTCAATTTTGACATAGTTTCTTTGACCCCCCCCCCCTTTCAAACTAGCAGTCCTCTGTCCAGAATGTGGACTTTTCTGTCTTCAAAAGTGTCTTTTTGTCTTTTATCTGCAGATTGACTGCTGAATCTAGTCCTGATGGGTTTGTTCTCCTTTATTTGTATTGTTTATAGGTTTTGTATAATTTTATCTTTTTAACACTGTAAGCTGCTCAGAGTTGCCAGTGCTAAGACGGCAGCCAATACATTTATAATAAAAATTATTAATAATTTTTATTATAAATTTAAATAGATATATGTACCAGAATTTTTTTGAAAATTTCTGGTGAAGAAGCAACCATGAGAGTCTCAATAGTAATTGGAAGCAGCACAGCCCAAAGAAAGGGTTACTAATTCAGTCAGAATCAGATATCTGTCTTGAACTTTCGAAAGGAAAAAGCTTTTGCAGATGACAATAATTTAACAAGAGATTTTGCGAAGTCTGATGCATAAATGAGAAACTTGCATCTACATATATAAAACTATGTAGTGCATGAAATGGCACTTCTTTTTCTGTTAAATGTCATGTTAAATGTCATAAAATGTCATAAACTCTTACCGTCCTGGGCTTCTGGAAGTTAAGATAAAATTATTCTGTTTTGGAGATATCTATTCTTGTTAGGTTTATCATATAAGTACAGATAAGCCTCAACTTCTGACCACAACGGAGCCAGAAATTTCAATCATAAATTATTATGGTTGTAAGACAGGAAAATCACATGACCAAATTTAATTTTATGGCTGTTTTACAATGATCATAAAGTGAGTCACTGTGGTCATAAAGCAAATCATGTGGTTGTTAAGTGAATCATGTGGTTGTTAAGCAAATCCATTTTTCCAAATTGGCAGTTTTTTGCCAGTAAGTAGTTTTTAAGTCTATCAAAACTTTGAATGGTCATTAAACGACCAGTCATATTACTGGACCTGCACTTAAATTTTAAAATTATAGGTATTAATGCTGTCATGCTGGCTATTTTTTCTGTTGGTAATGAAAGATTTATATAATTCCAACAATTGAGCTGCAGATCAGCAGTTCATCAACAGTTCTTGGCAAAAAAAAACTGGTTGTTTTAAAATGCAGCTTTGCTCATAGCTTAATACACAATTATTAAAAATTTGCTGTTGAGCCGTATCTTTCTGTTGAAGATTTATATAAAAAAGGGGAAGAGCTTCGATAGCGTGGTTGCAACCACCATCTTGACTTCATCACATCAGTATAAGAAAGTTTCAATAAACTTTATTTGCATCATAACGTAAACAACTTTTCAAAGCTCTTCTGCCCGAACCTAAGCAATCATTTGTCAGCAATAAGGAAATTTTTCACTCCATACATTAAGGATCATCCTAGACAGAACTGGTATTATAGTACATTACATATTTTCATTTCCAGAGTTATATCTCTGTCATCTTCTCTGTTTTTAATCTATTGTTTCCAGTCGGTATTAGGCTGGAAATTTTTTAAATGGTTCCATCTTGTCACATTTAATGTTTCCATGAAAAAATGAATGGCTTTTAATTTGTTCTCTTTGACTCTTTGTGGCTTTGGATATTACATAGAAAAGTAGAATGCAGAAGTCCACGGAAAAGCAGGCTTCTTGTGAAAATTGGAGGCACCTGGCTACCTATTTTCTATCCCATTTGAGCCTTTTCATCAATAAAACAGCAACCTTGGCACAGGAATGAGAAAAGACTTGAGTTTTTGGAGCTTTGCAGGTACTAACAAATTGAAAAATTAATTAATTGACAAATGTTTAACGTCTTTGCTTTTGATGCAAATGAATAAGGACCCTACTTGTTATAACATATGTATGCAAACATTAAGCATGCAGAGCAAATCTAATTTAGGCCAGGATCTCTTATATGAAAATCATGTGTTCACATATATTCAGACAGCTGGAGGGCTTATAGATAAAGGACACCCATACATTAATATGTATGCTATATCCATGAATATGAAATAAAGAAGTAATTAAGGATGAATGTGAAAGGAGATTGCTAAAGATGGAAAAAAGCAAACTGGTCAGAACAAATTGTGGAAATTGCAAGATGAGAAGTCAAAGTCATGAAAATCTAAGAAGGAACTTAGATTAGAATTTCAGAAAGTGGTTAGAAGACACAAGAAGCAATATTGCAATGACATCTGTAAAGATACTGAAGATGGAAACAGACATGGAAAAAATAAGGAAAGTCTTTCAAAAGATCTCCAAACTCCTCCTCCTCCTCCTAATCATCATCATCATCATCATCCTATTTTGATGGTGTAAAAGCCAACATCTGCCTATCCCAAGTTCTTGGGAAAGACTTGATAAGTGGATAGAACTGATTGACTTTTGGATAATAGATAGGATAGGATAGAATAATTTTATTTCTATACCGCCCTCTCCTGAAGGACTCGGAGCAGTGTACAACCAGGTAAAAACACAATACAAATATCACAATTTAAATTTAAAAATTATTAAAAGTATTACATTTAAGGCCAATTAGCTAAAAAACTCAAAAAATTAAGAATTCCGAATTTAAAACTCAATTATGAAGCTAGCCCTGCCTGTCGGAAGAGCAGGATCTTAAGAGCACAGTGGAAAACTCGGAGGTCAGAGATCTTGTGTATGTCCGGTGGCAGTTCATTCCAAAGGGCAGGTGCCCCCACAGAGAAGGCTCTCCCCCTGGGTGTCACCAGCCGACATAATTTGGCCGACGGCACCCTGAGGAGTCCCTCTCTGTGGGAGCGAACTGGTCGGTGGGAGGCTATTGGTGGCAGAAGGCAGTCTCGTAGGTACCCAGGTCCTGAGCCATGGAGCGCTTTAAAGGTGGTAACCAGCACCTTGAATCACACCCGGAAGACCACTGGGAGCCAGTGCAGCTCGCGCAGGACAGGTGTTAGTTGCACCCATAATTACCCGCGCGGCCGCATTCTGGACCAATTGGAGCCTCCGAATGCTCTTCAAGGAGAGCCCCATGTAGAGAGCATTACAGTAGTCCAGCCGGGAGGTAACAAGGGCGTGAGTGACTGTGCGCAAGGTGTCCCAGTCCAGAAAGGGACGCAACTGGCAAATCAGGCAGACCTGATAAAAGGCTCCCCTGGCCACAGCCGTCAGATGCTCTTCTAAAGACAGCCGTGCATCCAGGAGGACACCCAGATTGCGAGCCCTCTCTTTTGGGGGTAGAGATTCACCCCTATAGACAGCGATGTCAGCTGACTATACCGGGATGCCGGTAGCCACAGCCACTTGGTCTTGGAAGGGTTGAGTCTGAGCCTATTTCTCCCCATCCAGACCCGTACGGCATCCAGGCAGAGGGACATCACATTAAAGGGCATCATTGGGATGGTCTGGGGTGGAGATGTACAGCTGAGTGTCATCAGTGTACTGATGTACCCTCACCCCATGACCACGGATGATCTTGCCCAGCGGCATGTTGAACAGAAGGGGTGAGAGGACCGACCCTTGCGGAACCCCCCAAGCGAGGCACCTCGAGGTCGACCTCTGCCCCCCTGCCAACACAAACTGCGAGCGGTCGGAGAGGAAGGAGGAGAACCACTGCAACACAGTGCCCCCTATTCCTAGCCCCCTCAACTGTTGCAGCATGATACCATGGTCGATGGTATCAAAAGCCGCTGAGATATCTAATAGGACCAGAACAGAGGAACAACCTCTGTCTCGAGCTCTCCAGAGATCATCCACCAATGCGACCAATGCTGTTTCCGTGCTGTACCCCCGTCTGAAGCCCTACTGGTAAGGGTCCAGATAGACAGTTTCATCCAGGTACTGGGGGAGCTGTTGTGCCACCACACTCTCAACAACCTTCGCCACAAAGCGAAGGTTGGAGACCGGACGGTAATATGCTAATACAGCTGGGTCCAGGGAAGGCTTCTTGAGTAGGGGCCTCACCACCGCCTCCTTCAAGGTGGCAGGAAAGGTCCCCTCAGATGTGGCAGTAGGTGGACATAACAGAATAGAAGAGAAAGAACTGGAGAAAATCACAATACACAAACATCTGCAAATACAAATAGAAAGACTTTGACAAAAATGCAGTCCCCAGATTTTATGCTTTTTCTGGCTTTGAACTTCCTGGAGCCCAGAAAGAGTATCCTGATTAGTTGTCAGACTCCCAGGGGATGGGGGTCTTAGCTAGCCTTGCTGACTGATGTAATCTTCCAGGTGCCATGTAATGAGTTTCTGTCCTAGATGGGTCCCATTGTGTTAGTTTCTGTTGCTATTGTGTTGCAGATTATGGCCCATTAACAAAGATGTGGGGGGGGGGAGGCAGGAAGCTGCTTTGTCTTTAAAACATGTTTCTCCATTTCTCATCCAGGGAAATATAATATTCTGCCTTTTTAATACTTCCTAAAATATTTCATTCTTCCAGGAAAGGGGTGGATGCTAACTTCCTACATGACAAAACTATCATCAGTCAATTGCAAAAGGCAGCTTTACTTGGAATGGTTTACATCCTGCAATAGTATCTATAACATCTTCAACAACAATGTCGACTAATCCCACATCCTTGGGAAGGATTCAATAACTGGAGAAAAACTCTAAATCCAGCCTAAACATTTGGCTGATTTTTCGTTGTCTGTCTCTGTCTCTGTCTCTCTTTCTGTCTCTCTCTTACTCCCTCAAACACATTTAGAAACTGCCCATCTCCCTCCCAGAGGAACTCTGGGTGATGTACAAATCATGTTAAAAACATAAAACTGCATATAAAATTTAAAAATATGTAACAGACGTAAGTATAGTTAACATTCAATATTAATTAATTAAAGTTAATTAAAAGGAAGGAGGAAAGCCTTCAGGGTACTAATGGTTTTGTGCTTCACTGTGAGCCCCAAACGAGATAGCAGAGACACGTCTTTAGATATTTTTGAAAGGCCAGGAAGCAGGGGCTGACCTCACTTCTGGGGGAGAATGTTCCAAACAATGGGGGCACCAGCAGAGAAAGCTCTCTTCCTGGACTCCACCCAGTCAGAACTCTTTAACTGACAGTTCAGACAGAAAGACAGTCCCATAGGTAGTAGCCTGGCCTCATGTCATATAAGGCTTTAAAGGTCTTTGAATTGGACTCATAAGCAAATGGGCATCCAATGCTGCTCACGCAGAAGAGGTGTTACATGCACTGTTCTTTGGGCATCCAAGATTATTTGTGTAGCCACATTTTATACCAGCTTAAGCTTCTGGATTTTTTTCAAGGGTAGCCCCATGTAGAACACATTGTAATAGTCCAAATGGGAGATGACCAGGGAATGAGTGACTAGCAGACAACAGTAACTCTTTGAATTCTTAGCCAGAAGGATCAGTTACAAATGTTTGTCTCCCAAATTGTCCTATTCCTAACTTTAATCAGTCCCTCCCTCTCCAAATGAAAATGGGCTGAAAAATCATGATGGTCCTTTTACTCTTCTGGTGATATCACTTATGGTCCTCCCACAAGAGTATCTTCAGGGAGAATCAACAGCATCAAAATGGTAGGTGTTAACAGGCAACTGAAACCTTGCCCTACCCACACATACACACACGCACACACTTTAAATGGTTCATGGGTAGTTCATGAACATAAAAAGAATGGGACTCTGATTGTCCTAATCATACCTGCCATTTTGACAGTTTTAAGCCCCCCCCCCACATATGCCAATGTCCTTCAAGTTATTGAGGCAGTAAATTGTGTGTGTTTACTCCAGTACTGTAAGGAAGCCAAAATTATTTACACTTATACTTGCTTTTCTCTTCTCTTTCCCCATTTATTTTTACAAACATATTCAAACTAACAAATATCAGCATTTTACATCCCTCTGTATAATGTATGATTTCTAATCTCTTTAATATTTAGCACTGAAATCCTAAGAATGATTAATACGTTACTTCTAGTGTTTAATATTTAAAAAGGTACCTTAGAGTCTTATCATCGCAATGTCTATTTCCAGCCAAAATTGGTTGAAATATTCTTTAAAAACCAACATAACATTTACAGAGGAATATTTCTTTCTCAGCATCAAAGTGAATTGTTACAAAAAATTTCATAACAATCTCTTGAGCTTAAGCACTATAAATCACAATGCTTTGTGTGGAGAAGCTGTGTACTTCTCCACACAGCTAAGTCCAGTATGATGCCAGTGTAACATTTCAAGCTAACATTTAGGTATTAGGCTGGATTGTGCATGGTACTGATAAACGCACTGCTTTATATAAAGTGCTTCACCATGTCCACATTTCTGGAAGTCCAAACTGAATGTGCTTTCTTTACCACACAGAGACAGCCTCTCAATAGTTTGCAAGGTTTCAAAACAAGCCTCCAAATATATAAACTGCAGATCTGGGAAGTGTTTGAAGAAGTTACACTTGAAATGTAAATGCTATAGCTCTTTTTTATAATTCCTAACTAAAAGAACAGTGGTTCCAAATAATCTAGTAAAAATAATCTTTCAATAGAAGTGAATTAACTTATTTAATGATTTTGACTTTTCGCTGTCTACATACCTTCACATCCAGATATAAAGATTGACAGATTCAAACACATTCGGAGAAGCCAGAGTCATCTCACTTTGTATTTGCTTGATGAGAAAAAATTCCGTAAGTGATAAACATGAAGTGATACAATACAAATATAATCTGGGTCTAAGGAAAAAAAATACAAAATATTGCTCTCATTGTTCTCAACTGTTTTTTAAATAGCACAGATCATGGTACTCAGATTAATGGATGTATGATTTAAACATAACCCTTACAAAGAAACAAACTTTTCAAACACTAATTGCAAAATTATATTTTGTATGGTAGCTAGAAAATAAAATAAAATAATTGAGCATTTCAAACAATATATCAGTAGTTTTGGAGTAATTATATGAAAGTTGTGTTTGTACAAGTCCCTGAGCCACAAATTAGCCAGTAAAATTACGGAGCTAATTTGAGAGAGTGCCTTTCTCCAATTGTGTCTACCCAGGTCAACAAGATTCAATAGGACAGGCATACAAGAGGTTCCATCAATTAAAGAGTGCCATCTGGATGGACCCAGGTGAACCCTTTTCTGTTGTGGTGCCTGTTGTTTGGAACATCATCTCCTTGGAGATTAGATTAGCCCCAACCCCAAGGCCTTGAAACCCTTGCCTGTATCACTGGACATGGGGATTGCAATGAATGAAAGAAATTATGTGATGCCTATGTTGCTTATTGTTTGTTGGGTTTATCTTGGCTGCTGCTTATGCATGTATTATTATAACTTAAACTCCCTAATCAATTTACTTTTAGACTCAAAACATTCTGTATCAAACCATGGTTGAGAGGGGTAGGCCCTGACACCCTTGTTTTCCTCTCTTTTTTTGATATTCAGGTGGAGAGTGCTGGCTGGAATAAATGCATCAATTGGGCAAACATCTGCAAAAGGGAATTCTCAGTGCTCTCAACATGCATTGTTATGTTGATGTTATGCTTTTAACTGTTGTTTGCTGCCCAAATTCATGATGTTAAAAAGGGGCAACCATATAAATTGGAATTAAACACACACACACACACACACTGTATTGGTAGACTTTTTATACCCTTCCAATCTCATGACTGAGAGCATCACAGCCTGTTTTGTAAGCCTAGACTATATAGTTATCTTGTAATTCAGTGCATTGTGCAAAATCAGAAAATATAATTATTTGAATAACAAACTATGAGTAGGTATAACAAATGAATATAATTAATTGAATTTATTTACAGCACTTTTGGAATAAAGAGTAACCTGTTCTCAGCCTTGGCTAAACTCCAACGTAAACCTTTAAATTTATTATGTGCGCTTTCAAAAAATGTGGGGAAGGCAAACTAAACTCTAGTTCAATCAGACACCAATTGAACCCAGCCAGCATGACAGTTGGCTGAAAATTTTGGGATATCTATATATAATCAAACATTTCTGAAGGATGCTTGATTGATGAAAGCTGATTTACAGGTTTTTATTAAAAGACTTCTACTGGATTACAAATCCAGCATCCTGTTTTTCACAGCATTAAGCAACTTGCCTAATTGAAACTACGAATCATGACATAGGAACAGTAACTCAGAAATACCACATAACTAGTATAGCTAGTAGTCACTAAACATGACCTTATCCTCTGTGAATATCCATTGATAGAGAAAACTATATTACAATTGTCCTAAGTAAACATAATTCAAATTAAAATACAAAAACCATTGAATCAGTAAAGGCTGTGCACAAGAAACAGAATTCATACAAAACATGGATAATTTAAATTTCCAAAGCAGGAAATTCACCAACAGGCGATGCAAATCTGCATTGAGCTCCATATATATATTTGTTTTATTGAGGGAGTGACAGTGAGATTTACAAATCAAACAAAACCATAGTTTATTGACTAAGTAGCAACTGGCTACATCACAGATAACCATAAATACAAACCATGATCTATCAACTAAACCAAAATTCAATAAATCACATTGTGGGTTACTGCCCTCAGAGTCCTATGTTTTCAGGTAGGTTTCCCAACCTAAATTTCTGTAATCACTTGGATCAGTTATAATCTTTTCTGCATTGTTAAAAAAACAAAAAAGCCAGAAGCCATGGATTAAAACATTTAGAGGAATCCTGACCAGGAAAATGTTTCAGCATACTTTCGCCCCCACCCAAGCTTTGCTGTATGTGAGTCACAAATTATGAGAGTTATAAGTAATTTAATTGCCTCTCCCTAAAAAAAGAATTCTAACTCTGAAAAAATAGAGCTTTTACAATATGATAGGTCTCACAGCAGGCTTGAAACATGGGGGAAGGCCCTGTATATTTTTTCACATTCTTTTATTTATAGTGTGCCTTAATTTGTCCCTGGATATGAAGATAACTACTAAGAAGTCTGAAAAATATCTTGAAATGAGAATAAATGCAAGAAGAAAGTGCTTCAGAATTATGCATGCTGGAACCCTGCCTAGTTTTTACTTTTCATCCCAACTATTACCAAAGAACATGGAGTTGAAGTTTACACAACAAATTCCGGAAAAATCAAAATGGATGCTCCATCTGATCTGATCTGTGGACAAAATGGACAAAGACCAGAGGAATCAGAGGGACATTTGCAGACAAATTAGGCAGATGATAAAATGAGGGACAATATGAATGTCTATGTTCACAATAAGGTCTTTATACCAAGGAACTATACTGAAACAAAACAGAAATAACCTCAGGTTTCTATTGGTTTTGAAAATTAACTTTTTTACAGCATAGCAAAGATGGAATCAGCATTCTAGCACAGGAAGAAAAAAGGCCTTGAGTCTGGATGCCCAAATCCTGTCACTTAACATTTTTAAAAGAAATGTAAAGGTAAAGGTTCCCCTCGCACATATGTGCTAGTCATTCCCGACTCTAGAGGTGGTGCTCATCTCCACTTCAAAGCTGAAGAGCCAGTCTGTCCGAAGACGTCTCCGTGGTCATGTGGCCAGCATGACTAAATGCCAAAGGCGCACGGAACAGTTACCTTCCCACCAAAGGTGGTCCCTATTTTTCTACTTGCATTTTTTACGTGCTTTCGAACTGCTAGGTTGCAAGAAGCTGGGACAAGTAATGGGAGCTCACCCCGTTACACGGCACTAGGGATTCAAACCGCTGAACAGCCAACCTTTCAATTGACAAGCTCAGCATTCTAGCCACTGAGCCACCGCATCTCATAAAAGAAATGTAATCATGTTCATATTGTATGTGTTATATAAGCTATACTGAAGTTCAATAAACACACAGAAGTTTAAAGAAATAATTCAAGCCACCCTTAGGAAAAGATATCTTTATCAAATATCCCTATCTGCCTATCCCAGGTTCTTGGGAAGGGCTCAGAAGGTGGATAAAAATGTCAAATCCAGTCTTAATATCTGGCTGATTGTGCGACAACCATAATAATGTCAAAGTAATAGATGTTGTAATACCTGGAGATAGGAGAAAAGAAGAGAAAGAGTTGGGGGGGGACACAAAATACAAACACAAAATACAAGGGGGCAAACGGAAGTTGAATGGCTGTGGCAAAAGTAAGCAAAAGTAGTACTAATAAGCATGTTGGGTGCAATCTAAAAATAACCAGAGTATCACTTGAACATCATGAGCATTGGCAAAATCATCACTGGTCAATTTCAAAAAAACTGCTTTACTAGAGTAGGAGTAGGAGTAGGAGTAGGAGTAGGAGTAGGAGTAGGAGTAGAGTAGAGTAGAGTAGAGTAGAGTAGAGTAGAGTAGAATTGAATTGAATTTTTTATTGGCCAAGTGTGATTGGACACACAAGGAATTTGTCTTTGGTGCATATGCTCTCAGTGTACATAAAAGATACATTCATCAAGAATCATAAGGTACGTACAACACTTAATGATAGTCATAGGGTACAAATAAGCAATCAGGAAACAGTATCAATATAAATCATAAGGATACAAGCAACAAAATTACAGTCATAGTCATAAGTGGAAGGAGATGGGTGTTAGGAACGATGAGAAGATTAATAGTAGTGCAGACTTAGTAAATAGTTTGACAGTATTGAGGAAATTATTTGTTTAGCAGAGTGATGGCATTCAGGAAAAAACTGTTCTTGTGTCTAGTTGTTCTGGTGTGCAGTGCTCTATAGCATCATTTAGAGAATAGGAGTTGAAACAGTTTATGTCCAGATGTGAGGGGTCTGTAAATATTTTCACAGCCCTCTTTTTGACTTGTGCAGTATACAGGTCGTCAATGGAAGGCAGATTGGTAGCAATTGTTTTTTCTGCAGTTCTAATTACCCTCTGAAGTCTGTGTCTGTCTTGTTGGGTTGCAGAGCCAAACCAGACAGTTATAGAAGCGCAGATGATAGACTCAATCATTCCTCTGTAGAACTGTATCAGCAGCTCCTTGGGCAGTTTGAACTTTCTGAGTTGGCACAGAAAGAACATCCTTTGTTGTGCTATTTTGATGATGTTTTTTATGTTAGCTGTCCATTTTAGATCTTGCGATATGGTAGAACCTAGAAATTTGAAGGTCTGTACTATTGATACTGTATTGACTAGTATTGTGAGAGGTGGAAGTATGAAAGTCTACCACCATTTCTACTGTTTTGAATGTGTTCAGTTCCAGATTGTTCCAGTCACACCACGAGACTAGTTGTTCAACTGCTTAATCCCCGTGATAATACCTTTAATATAATTAAACATCATCTGCCTATCTGAGGTCCTTGAAAAGGACTCAATAACGAGATAAAAATGCCAAATCCAATCTAAACATCTGCCTGTCTGTGCAACCAATCATAACACTTTAATTCTCTTTGTTAGTTTATGTCACCCAAATTGCAGCAATGTGGTTACCAATTGTTTCTTGAGGAGAAATTGGACAACAGTGTAAGCATTGGGATCACCCTCATCTCAAGAATGCATTGATCATAGTTAGGACACTCTCACTTTAAATGTCTCCTATATATTGTAGCAATAGCAATAGCAATAGCACTTAGACTTATATACTGCTTTCCAGGGCTTTACAGCCCTCTCTACAGGAGTTTACAGAGTCAGCGTATTGCTCCCAACAATCTGGGCCCTCATTTTACCCACCTCGAAAGGATGGAAGGCTGAGTCAACCTTGAGCCTGGTGAGATTTGATCTGCCAAACTGCTGGCAGCTGGTGATCAGCAGTAGTCTGCAGTACTGCA